CTCACCCCAGGAATGTTTGTATACAGTAGCTTTTTCCCTATGCCCCTTTTGCATTTTTTTAAAAAAAGCTTACTTCAGCGGACTCATGTTGTACTTTTCCTTTTGTGCTTGACTTACTTCGCTGAACATGATTTCCTCCAGTTCTTCCCATGCAGCGATGTGCTTCATACATCATCACTGCTTTTTAGCGATGCATAGTACTCCATTTTTTATCACAGTTTTTTTTTATCCAATCGTCAGTTGATGGAAACTTGGGTTGTTTCCAACTCCTTGCAATTGTGAACTGGGCTACAATGAATATTGGAGCACAGATGTCTGGCCTTGGTTTGTTTCTTGCCTCTTCTGGGTAGATGCCCAGTAGGGTGATGGCTGGGTCATATGGTAGCTTGATTTTCATCAGTTTAAGATATCGCCAGATCGATTTCTATAGTGGCTGTACATATTTACAGGTCCACCAGCAGTGGATGAGAGTTCCTGTCTCCCCACAGCCCCTCCAACACTTGTTGCTTTCTGATTTTTTTGAATTGGGCTACCTTTGAGGGTGTTAGGTGGTACCTCATTGTTGTTTTAATTTGCCTTTATCTTATGTCTAAAGATCGGGAACATTTTCTCATATGTTTGTTGGTCATTCGGATTTCTGCCTCTGTGAAACTTCTGTTCAGGTCCTTTGCCACCTCTCAAGTGGGCAATTAGTTTTTTTTCTTTTAGAAGTTAGCAGAGTATTATAGATTTTAGTAAATAAGGCCTTTGTCTGATGTGTCGTTGCTAAAGATGTTTTCCCAGTCCGTGGACCCTCTTATTACTCTCTTGGTGAATTCTTTTGCTGAACACAGGTGTTTCATCTTCAGTATATCTCATTTGTCAATGTGTGCCTCCTCTGTGTTTGCGTTCTTCCCTATTTCTGATAGCCTATGTATTCCCTGTGCCAAAGTTATCAAGGTGGTCCCAATTCCCTCATTGATGGCCCTAATCGTTTGGGGTTTAACTTCAAGGTCTGTGATCCACCTTGAGTTGATTCTTGTGCATGGAGTTAGATAAGGGTCTTGCTTCATTTCCTGCAGGTAAATATCCATTTTCAGGGTTGGTTTCCCCATCTTTAAAATAAAAAGAAATTCTTGCAACATGGGATTATGAGGTTTAAAGTAATGATTTTTGTTAACCACCCATCACCCAGTATATATGTATAAAAATAGCATATTTAAAAATAAATTACATACAGAATACATAAATTTACAGGGATAGTATGCATTGTATATATGCAATATGTAGGTATATATATTCCTAACTTATCTTCATCTTTATAAAAAAATCTAATATTATTATAAGATCTAAGATTTAGGTTGTAGAGGGAATATGGTAAAATATGTTTAATACTAAGATTGAAAGTTCAAACATGGAAGTTGAATACTCTCTATTTTCTTCCGAATTGTGTAACCCTGGTGATTACACTCTTTTTAGCTATCAGTTTTTTCATCTGGTAAGCAAATAAAACCTTCAATTTTGGGGGGAGGATTAAGGGAGGTAATATTAGTAAAGCATGAGAGCAGAAGGCCAGTGCTTGGCTCAAAGGGAAAGGTAGGTGGGAGTAGGGATTTCTGTCCACAAAAACAAACATTTCATATATAACTGTAAATTAAAGCTACATTTTGAACCATTTGCTACCACTCTGTTACCCTATTTTTTTAACCTCTTTGCTCCCAAGGAGGAGCCCTCAAACACAGTATTAAAACACTCAGCTGCAAAGTGAAAGGCCAGTGGTTTGAACTTACCACCCAGACACCCCAGGAAAGAAAAATGTGGCAGTCTCTTTCCCTAAAGATTAATAAAAAAATTACCTCACTGCCATTGAGTGGGTGCTGACTCATAGTGACCCTTATAGCTCAGTGTAGCATTGCCCCTGTGAGGTACCAAGACAGTAACTCGTTATGGAAGGAGAAAACCCCTGGGAGTTTTCCAGTTGCTGACTTTTCAGTGAGCACCCCAACGTGTAACCTTTCTGTCCCCAGGGTTCCTATCCATAAAGATGACAGCCTTGGAAACTCTTAAGGCACAGCTCCATTCTGGCCTATAGAGCCACCATTGAGTCCGAATGTACTTAAATTGACTCAGAATGTACTTAAATTGACTCAGAATTTACTGCCATGGGTTTTTGCTAGAAAGATCTCTCCATGCTTAATGTCCCATAAACAAACGATGTATCACAATTGTTAACTAAATTTCTACACATATACTGGATCTTTCATCATTATCTTTTAAATTCTAGCATTTTAATTGCCCATCAATTCTATAGCTACTTTATTACTATACTTAATAAAACAACTGCTTAAACATCAACATCATTAGTATAACAATAAACTTTTTCATTTTGTGAAAGTAAATAAGGCTTAATTTCATAAGCTAAACATTCTATCACATTAAATCATCATTATATTATGTTGGAAAAATAAGCATTTTATTCCAAGTTTTGAAAATGAGAATATTGAAGCTCAAAGTGATTCCATCACTGGGCTGTGTTCTAATCTGTGGAGAGGTAACACAGTTCTATCTTTCACAGCACTGACATATATTAGTCATAGCCCATGTTCTCATGGTTGATTACTTAGTATTTAAGAAAAAGACAGTTTTCTAATCAACATATTCAGTTTGTGATAGCTCTCTAATTTACCCATAAAGAATGTCAACTCTTCCTTAAAATAGACTTATAACTTGATCAGAAGTTAAAATGCCAAAATATACAGGAAGCTTCAGAAAATTCGTGAACAAATACTCTCATCTTTTAATACTACTTTTCCACAAATTTTTTTAAAAAAACCTTATATACTCCTAGTCTGTTAGTTTGCTAGTTCATTCTGTGGGTTAACTGTTTTCTAGTGTGCTGTATCAAGAGGCTTAGGATATAAAATTTTGAACATTTATTCCCAGTCATCTTCATTAGTCCAAACTCTGTTGCATTTGATTATTTTTCCCAGTAAAGTACAAAAACAACACAATAATGTAGTACCTTTTAACACTATATGTTCAGATTCCAAACAGGTAACATTTCTCATACTTTTAAGTGGGTTTACATTTTTCTGAATGTTTCTGCCTGTTATATAGTCCATGTATCCCTAGGCAAGCAGGAAATTTGACAGACCATGTTTTAAAATCAAGACAAATCAGGATTAATCACAAACCAGGAAACCTGGGTTATATAACGACTACCTGAATCTAGAGACACCAAGTAGAGCAACAAAATTAATAGCAGTTCAGAACAGGTTATGCATTTATACATGTGCTTTACACCAGCATGTTGCCCTTGTTTGCATTTCAGTGGGAGGAAGAGCAGCCTTTCTGTTCCTGCACAGTCACAGTCTCAGAAACTGAGCAGGGCAGTGCTCCTCAACCACCCTAGGCAGACCCCAGGGTCTTCTCCCAACACATGGTCTTCTGAGTCAGAATTGACTGGATGACAGTGAGCTTGATTTTTGGTGGTATTCCAGAGTGTATCTGCATTATCCTTTTCATTTGCTTAAAAATTCATGCAGTGGATTTCCACATCAATATTTGGATTTATGTCAGCAAAATGTGACATCAAAAGCAAGCACTTAGAACAAAAAGAGATCTTGGTGTTGCTTTTGTTTCTTTTAAATCCATTGGGAGCAGAACTGAATTCTGTTTTGTGGGAGGAAATGGACCCCAAATTTCTAATATAATTGATGGAGACATGTTGATTAAATCTTAAAACAAAGACAAGACAGAAACACATCATCTGGGTAAGGGAGACAGACCCACAGTACAAAGACTTACTGCTGTCCCAGAATTGACAGAAACTTGGCATTTAAGAGGACAAGGGAAACTGTCACAAGAGCATAATTGGCAGCAAATCAATACATTACAAGTGGGAAAGGGATCGTGACTGATATCCACACACTATTCCAGATGCAAATGCTTACAAGGTTGGTTCAGGGACATCTGACCAAGGTAGTCAGAATGTAAATCATGACCATGTGGGCCCCAGGACCCCCAATTCTAACAATGACACACTCAGGCAAGATCACTTCTAGGGCTGGCTGCGGGGTGGGGTGGGGGGGCAAGAGGGGGCAAGGGGAGCCATGGAGCAATCCAATTTCAAACCCACTCCGCAGAGGGCAAAGCTATTAATATTGCAGATAGAACGTTAGAAAGAGTTCAATGGAGGCTGAATGTTTGAGGGGACTAAAAAATAGATTTAGGGGTTTCACTCTAGCCTTTCACAAACCTGGCATTCAGAATTTAAGCTCCAAGACAATTCTTTCTACATTTTTCATTCTTTTATCTGGGAGATGTTAGCTTGATATTCCACTTACACATGTTTTACAGAACACAGATTTCATGAGTTCATGGCTTTGCCCTAATTTCCTTATTTTAAATCCTGGATGAATTGCCGATGAAAATGATCCCCATTACTTTTAAACTGGGTTTCAAAAAATAAAGATCTAAACACTGTATGGATTCATTTCAGAACATTCTAATCCCCAGGAATGTTTATTAATTCAAAACCACAAAGATTAAACCATTCCAGGATTTAGCTAGTTTGGTAGTTAGTTTGGTAAAGCATTTCACCACAAGTTCTGCCACAAAGCATTTGAGAAAATTCCTTCTGAAAAGGACAAAAGAGAGACTTCCTGTCATCCCCATTGGCTTCTGCACGTGGAACCAATATGGGCAATGCAAAGTTTAAACAGATGCAAATAGTGAGGGCGGAGGCCAGGCTTGCCTTGTTTTACGTTTTTCTCAGGTTCCAGTTAGGGTTTAAGTCTGCCTTTTCTGGGAGCTCCCACAGTAGCGTTCCACTGAAGTTACAGCATAGCTAAGTGGAGGACTGCACCAATATTTGCTTATGGAAATAAAGGGGAGTGGCAGGGGAGAGGAGAGTGGAGGAAGGGTTTGAAGCGCGGCCACCAACCAGTAACCTTGTCTGCTGTGGTCGTTAACCTTTCTGGAAATGCAGCTGGCTGTTCTCCGAGGTTGTCATTCGAGTTGAGCAGAGCCACACAGCGGTTGCTCAGCCCACTTAAAGTCTCTTTGATTTACTCTGAGAACCACTGCTCCCATCAGTGTGGCAGAAAGATGCGGCTTCCACAATCTTTTTTTGTGCTTTTTATTCTTATGACGAGTCTTCTCCTGGTGAATGGATTCAAACCAGGTAGGTGTTGAATACATTTGTACTGAGCAACTTTCAGTGTATAGCCTGTATGTTTATAACCTCCTCTGAACTTAATTGTGTTTATGCTGAAACTCGGTTAAGTCTCCTTGCAGTACTGTGAGTAAATGTGTATGCTGGTGGCCGGGCACTTATTTGATAGTGGCAGGGTGCTTCTCTGGTTATTTTAAAACTTAGCTGAATTTTAAAATGACGATAAAAACAATTTTCCCAAACACGAAGTAAATCGGTCCCTAAAGTATTGTAGATAAGTTGTCCTTGAAAGTAAAATGAAGTGACTCTGTTGGCATATTCATTATAGAAGTTAACAAAAATAACTTGTTGCTCTTTGTATTTAACTAACATCACAACTACAGTATGGAAAAATGCAGATGAAATCTTAAAACGGGTCCATAACTTGTCATTTATAGTTATATAACTAGGTTGTATCACTTAACCAAAAGTGTTTCTTCAGTTTTTAGTGCTAAACTCATCAAGACAAAGAAATTGTATGCTCAAAGTCATTTTAATCTACTTGACATATTTATCAAAGATGATCTCAATTCTGTCATTCTTAATCAACAGGAGTTTGGTCAGCAAAGTCATTTTAATGTATGTTTTCCTCAAAACTAAAGATGTCACACTTTAAAGCTCTGACAAGGTAGAAATAAGGAGGTGAAAACATTTCTAAGGAAAATTCAAACCCAAATTTAAATAGAAAGGCGATAATGTTTGCACCTACACATGTTGTATTATTCATGAGGAAATGCATGTCTTCGTTAGAAGAGAAAGTGATACGTACCTGGTTAGAAACACAGACACTGGCCTGGTAGTTCTTCAGAAGTTGATCGCAGAGGTTATGCTCAGTGATGCTCTCCTTGCCTCACCTTTTCCAAGAATGCAGCAAAAGTTCCAAATCAGCAACCAAGAAAGCAGCTCACTCTTTATAGCGGTTTCTATTCAAGCTATTTTCACCTTTTTTCTAAATACAGAACATGTTGGACAATAAAATATGTACGATTAATGTCATACTTAAATTAAAAGGCCTATTTCTCTTTTTTCACATTTCTCGTTCTCGCCAGTGACAAAGAAGAAGTCTCACAGGCCCTACTGCCTTCACCGCAGATGCAGGCCACTCCATTCTCGAGTGCCCTTCCCTTGAGGTATTTCTTACAGAAATGAGCTCTTTCACATTTAGGTACTGTTCCATGTATTTAAAAGAGTATTCATATTATTTTGTAATAGATGGTGATCATTTTATGCTCATGTCAAAGCTCATGTCAAGAGATATATGCTGACAATTTAAGGAGTAAAATGTCAGCACGTTGATGTCAAGAGATATATGCTGACAATTTAAGGAGTAAAATGGAATGATATTTGGAAGTTATTTTTTTTAAATCATTTTATTGGGGGCTTGTACAACTCTTATCACAAATCCATACGTACATCCATTGCGCCAAGAGCATTTGTAAATTTATTGCTATCATCATTCTCAAAAAATTTTCTTTCTATTTGAGCCCTTGGCATCAGCTCCTCATTTTTCCACTCCCTCCCTCACAAACCCTTGATAATTTATAAATTATTATTATTTTGCCATATTTTCCAATCTCTCCCTTCACCCACTTTTCTGTTGTGCGTCCCCCAGGGAGTGGGTTATATGTAGATTCTTGTAATTTGTTCCCCCTTTGTACCCCACCTTCCCTCCACCCTCCCCGTATCGCCACTCTCACCACTGGTCCTGAGGGGTTCATCTGTCCTGGATTTCTTGTGTTTCCAGTTCTTATCTGTACCAGTGTACATCCTCTGGTCTAGCCGGATTTGTAAGGTAGAATTGGGATCATGATAGTGAGGGAGGTGGGGAGGAAGCATTTAAGAACTAGAGGAAAGTTGTATGTTTTATCTTTGCTGCACTGCACTCTGTCTGGCTGGTCTCCTCCCCGTGACCCTTCTGTAAGGAGATGGTTTGGAAGTTATTTTAACAGTTTAGTAAGCAAATGAGGTAGGAGGAAAGTGTTCATGAGGAAAATCTTGGTAACAAGTCTAAATGATAAATATATCATGAAAATACTTTAAAGAGTTTGAAAAGCTTAATAAGAAGAAAATTCAGCTATTGAGTCTTCAATGTGTGTTTTGAAAAACACTGAATGTCTCCTTATGATATCCAATACTTGGTAGTTTTTCCTGAAAAAAATTATTTAAAAAAATGTAAAACCAACTTAATAGTAATGATACAGTAGCTTTCTGGCTTCACGAATAGTACTTTTAATGAGTGCTCCTTTAAGGATAAACTCTGCGTGGAATTTTCTCTCTACTAACCCCCACTACACCACCTCCTCCCCACTACCCACTCACCCCACACACACACGCGCGTGCGCGCGCGCACACACACACACACACACACACACACACACACACACACACTGATAGGGCAATGGTTTTATACTACTACTATTAGTAGTAGTAAGAAGCCCTACTAGTATAGTGGATTCTGCATTGGGATGCTAACCAAAATGTCAGCAGTTAACTGCTAGCCCTTCTGAGGAACAAAGATGAGGCTGCCTGCTCTTGGGAAGATTTACAGTCTAAGAAACCCTAAGATGCCATTCTACTCTGCCTTAGAGGGTCATTGTGAGTCATAGTTGATGCCATGGGAGTGGGTTTGGTTGGATACCATCAGTAGGGATACTGTTTGAAGCAATTAACTTCAAACACCATCCAAGTTTAAGTAACTTCATACTAAAATCTAAATAACTTGGAATTCTATTGTAATTATTTTAAGCTCTGTAAATAATTAAAAAATATATATTCTTTAAAAGTTCGTAGAAATATCTCTCAGCTGGTCAACCTACACACAATTGCTAAATGAGCTTATTCAGGTGCTTTGGGAACTGTAGCTTTTATGGTTCTTTTCAATGGGGGCATGGTGGTAATGCCTATTGTTTAAATGTGTGCTGTTCAAACCCCATGGAAGCCTCATAGTAGGAAATTAAGTGAAGAAAAAGCAATTCAGTAGTAAACCTTTATCAAGAGGACTATGACCCCCCAAAAAAGAAAGAAAGAAAGAAAGAAAAAACCCCAGTTTTTTATCTGTAACAAATTACTCTCTGTTATCAAAATATGAAAAATAGACTTAGAGGAGGCATTCAGAAAGAAATATTAGGAAGTTTCTGGGAAATTAATTAAGTAAATTAAACCTTCTTTAAAAGGATACTATCTGTTTTACAAAAATCTGCCAGTGTGTGTAGATAATACTTTAGATCTTCTTGTTTTTCCTATTGCTACTGGAGAAAATCTGTTTTGGAAGACTAAAGAGACTACAGATTTCCCCAGCATACTTCATAAATAACAAAGGATAGGAGGCCTTTGACAACAGCAAGGGAATTCCTGCATAGAGAGGGAAAGACATGTGGCATACTGGAAGCACAAGCCCTCTGCTAGCCAAGGGTTCCCTTGGCTTTCTTCAAAAGCTACCTGCAGTTAAAAAAAAAATTCAAGAAGATAAGATAGAGTCGTAAAGTTTGAATTGTAGAAGGTAAAAATTGTGACCTGTAAATCAATGGAAAATTTAAATGAAAGCGCTCTAAGCCGCTTAATGGTAGCAATCTTAACTTTTGTGGGTTGATGGTTTTAAAGAACTGCTAGGTTACAGCATCAATTTTCTCAGTATTCAGGCTAGTTCTAGATTCCAGCTCCATTCTTTGAAGAGTGTTTAGAAGTCACATTCTGAAAACCAGAGATCTTATAAGAGTCAATACCCAATAAATATTAAAATAATTTTCCAAGGTTCAACAGTGTTAACAAATGCTACTTTAAAATTTGATAGCAAGATTCTCACTGTCAAAGATACTCTGACAACTAAGAGAAAGGCTTCATGGATTTAGATAATAGAACGCCTTCTCATTACCCCGCCCTTTGTTTTCTTCATACTTTAGATAAAATCACACATGTTTACTTGATTCCATTTAGGCCGAGTGAGATTACAAAAAGGAGAGTGAAGGTAAACTCTTGACTTTGGAAGTTTCCTGGATGAAACCTTTGGCGCACTTAACAAGAATGCTTATTATCTTCACTTTGGTCCTCCTCTGTGTGCCTCACCCAGACTTTTTACCTATGCAATTGAGTTAATTAAATAAAAAAGCTGTGGGCAATTCATTTTCCTCTGTGTGTGTGCGTGCGTGCACATGTGCACTAAACAGAAGAGCAAGAGAGGGGGCATCAGGAAACGGAATCCAAGCTAGTAGGTTGATGTCATAACTACAGAGTAGAAAATGAAGTAGAGCTAGAAGTCTAACAACTACCCTTTGCAGAGGTAAAATCTTACTACATCCAAACTTTGATGGATAAATGCAAGCTCTAGATAAGCACATATCTTAATAATAAATACGTTCATAACAATTGGAATGCATGCTCAAGGTTTGATTTCTTTCTTTCTGTTTTTAATATGTATGAATGGATATAGTCACAAGCCTCCATCCTACCCTATTGCCACTTTCACTTCCCAGGGGAAATATGAGTAATTATTTTGTCAAGATATCTTTTGACACATCAGTTAATCACTTTCTCTGAATACTGTTCAAAATGAAAATCAATTTTAGTATTCTGATTTCTGCCTTACTCTTACTTCTTAGTCACAGAGTTCTGACTCTCGGATTACAACTCTGTCCTGCTCCCAACTCTTTCTGCAACTGCATTGTTTTCTTGGCTCTTCTCACTTTAGTCTCTCTTTGACTTAACTGAAAGTTAACTGCATTTCCAATTCAGAATCTCCACTTCAGCGGAGAATCCCTGCTTCCCCTTTATGCACTGACCAGAAATTGAACCTGAGTTGGAGGTGAGAAAAATCTACCACTAAGTCACTCAAAACCAACCCAAGCCTTGGCCTTTGAGTCGATTCTACCTCATCATCACCTACATCAGAGTGGAACTGCTCGCTGGGGGTTTAAAGCTGTCAGGCCTTACTGAGCAGGCAGCCTCATTTTTCTCCTGTTACCAGGGCTCCTGACTGGATCACCATTACTCTGTTAATCCATTCTAGTTTTTAAAAACAAATTCTTAACCTTTAACCTCTCTTAACTCATAGGGAGAGCTAACTCCTACTTCATAGAGAAAATAGAGATAATCAAACCTTAACATCTTTCCTTGGGTACAGTGACACCAGGCTCCCTTATGACAATGAATATGTACACCTGCAATCCTCCTATTTTCCCCCCATCCTGTCTGAAGGGTTTTGACTGCTAACCACAAAGTCGGTGGTTCAAACCCACAGCAGCTTCTCTGTAAAGAGAAGACTTGTACAGGCTCAGACACCTACTATTGTCTCTCTGAGTCACAACCAACACAATGTCAGTACGTGTTTGGTTTTTCATCTGTCAGTTGGCCAGTAATCTACCAGTGGAGGCATCCTTTAGTTACTATAATGCTGAACAAGTTTCTAGACATATTAGAAAGAAATACCAATCTACTAAAAAACCAAAAACCATGGACCACAGCAACCCAATTTCATTGTGTATAGGGTTCCCATGAGTTAAGGGCTGACTCAGTAGCAGCTTACAACAGTCTGTCACTAAGAATTGCCTTTTTGTATATAATTAGTTATTTCTTCAGTCTCAGTGACCGTGATGTACCAATTACTTCATCCTTTTCTCCCCTTTGTACACTCTGGTCCTAGGACATCATGCTTCTCGCTTCACAGCCACCTTTCTTCCAAGGCAGCTGTTTTCTCTCTTCCTTCCATCTGTTTCCAACATACTGCTCTCTGAATAACGGAACCCTAATAATTTGGTGGTGATGCAATTGGCTGCTAACCCAAAGGTCAGCTGTTCAAACCTACCAGTCTTTCTGCCAGAGAAAGAAGTGGAAACATACTTCAATAAAGGTTACAGACTCGGAACCACGTGGGAGTTCTCTCTGTCCTATAGTCACTGTGAGCCAGTCAACTTGATGGCAACACTTGGGCTCCCTGGATTCCACTCCTCAGTGCACACTTGGAAAGGCCCCTAATGACTTCCTTTTCCACAATCCAATGAACACCCGAGTCCTGCTTTCACGTATCTGACTCTACAGGTAAAATGATAGAATGAGTTTTCCATGGCTCCAGTGATCCTAGGCTCCCTTCTGACTCTCTCTGGATTGCATCACTCTTTCTGGGTTTTAGGACCTCTCT